CAACATTTATTATCTCACAGACTCTGAATGTCAAGAATCTAGGTGAGTCCTCTGTTTCAAGGTCTCTCCCTGCTGCAAAGTGCCATTTGGGACTGCAGTTATCTCAAGGCTTGACAGGGAAGGATTCACATCCCAACCTTACTCTTGTGGTTGTTGGCAGCATTAATCATTATGAATCTGGGGCTAAAGGCTTCAATTCCTCACTGGCTGTTGCCTAGAGACCACTCTCAATGTCTTGCCATGTGAGTGTCTCTACCATGGCAACTGGCTGCACCAGTGTCACCAAACCAAGAATGGAAGGGAGGGAGGGAGAGAGAGAGAGAGAGATCAGTCTTTTATAGCCTAGTCATGGAAGTAAAACCTCACAACTTTCACCATATTTTTAGAAGAAATTCACTAGACTCAGCCCACTGTCAGAGGGAAGAGGATTGCGCAGGGGTGTGAATACTAGCAAGTGGAATAGTGTAATGAAGCTAGGATCATTGGGAGCCATGTCAGAGGCTATCTACCAGTTTCCCTGTGGGAGGAGGGAGTTGAAATTGCAAGGTTCTATGACTGAGCTTCTGGGAGTATTTGTAAATATCTATTCCTTTACTGACATGAAAGCACGAGAACATATCTACTTTTGGAAAAGTATCTAATATCGATACTAATTAGATACTTTTTATCTAATTAGATACTAATACTAAAAGTATCTAATTAGATACTAAAAGTATCTAATGTAGATGTGTAATTTGGTCACTTCTCTTTATGTATATGGTTTTCCAATAAATATTTTTAAAGTGAACACTGTGGAGTGACATCAACATTAGGGCAAAGACAGATGCTTTCTTTGTCTCCCCCCTACAACGTACAACCATTAAACATCCACAATTCAGCATAGATACCTCTGACCAACACACCAGAATTCCATAAACCTGTACATCTAAAGGTGGGTGAACTGTAACACACAAAGGACGCAGAACTGGGGAAACAGTGGAGGCAGTGCCTGCAGTACTTGTCCCCCAGCTGCAGCAGTTGAGCTGGCAGCCACAGAGAACCCAGGAGCAGCAAGGGAGGTGGCACACACGACTCTGACCTCCTGGCCATAGCAATGCTTGTGGAGACAGATATCTAGGCAGCAGCAGCGGTGGGACCTGTGACACCATCCCTCCAGCTACAGAGGCACCCACAACTCCAGCCCTCTCATCCATCACCACCCACAGCAGCGTTGTCAGCGAACTTAGCAACCCTGGATATGGCAGAAGCGCCCATGATCCCAGCTCCCCCTCCCCCTTCTCCTCCCCCAGCAGAGGTGGAGCCTATGACTCAGGAGATCTTGGATGCGGTGGAAGGACCTGCCATTTTGGTGCCCCGGACTGCGACTCCAGGGACACGAGCAGTAGCAAGGCCTTAACAACCCTAGAGATACAAGCAAGGACAAGAAGGCACCAAAGTACACCTCTGACAGAGGCAGTGGAGGGTGGAAAGTGCCAACTTTCTAATATAACCAACCAGAGTCACGCAGGTTACAGAAATCAAAAACCTGTGCTATAGCGCCACCTACTGGAAAACAAAAGACAGGCTCTCATTTCTAATTTCTAACCTGTTGAATCATTAGAATCAAGTAAAACACACACACACAGACACACACAGACACACACACACACACAGCTTTATATAAAGGTGTTCGCTACTTCAAACGCACCAGCAAAGCAACAAACAACTGATCACAACATGAAGAACAACAGTAACACTGTATCACAAAAAGAAAGTGACAATTCACTAGAACCTCAGAAAGGCAGTAAAATGAGCTCAGGAATAAATGAACAGAAGGAATACTTTGCTAAAGGGATTGAAACTCTAAGAAAAAGTCAAATAGAAATTCTGGAGCTGAAGGACTCAATAAACAAGATGAAGAATGCATTAGAAAGTGTTGGAAATAGAGCAGACCACATGGTAGAGAGGATTAGTCAGTGTGAAGACAGAAATCTAGAAATAATACAGGCAGAAGAGGAAAGATAATTACGATCTTTAAAAAATGAGGAAATTCTATAAGAACTATCTGACTCTTTTAGGAAGGGCAACATTAGGATAATGCGTTTCCCAGAAGAAGAGCAGATGAAGGGAGCAGAGAATTTATTTAAAGAAATGATAGCTGAGAATTTCCCAAGCTTGGGGAAGGAACTTGATATTCAAGTCCATGAAGATAAGAAAGAGAACACCTAGCTACTTCAATGCAAAAAGACCTTCTCCAAAATATATTATATTAAAACTGTCAAAAGTCAACGGCAAAGAAAGAATTGTAAGGCAGCCAGAGAAAAAAAGATTTTAACATACAAAGGAATCCCCAATAGGCTATCAGCAGTTGCTCAGAATAAACTGTATGGACCAGAAGAGAGTGGAATGACATTCTCAAAATACTGAAAGGTAAAAACTTTCAGCCAAGAATACTCTATCCAGCAAAGTTTTTTCATATAAATGGAATCCTAACATTTGTATAGAATCTCAAAAAGGCCTGAATAGTCAAAGCAATCTTGTGAAAGAAGAACAAAACTGAAGCCATCATGCGTCTAGCTTTTAAACTATATTACAAAGCTATAATAATCAAAATAGTATGGTACTGGCATAAAAACAGACACATAGATCAACGGAACAGAATTGAGAGCCTACAGATAAACCCACACATATATGATCAATTATTTTACAACAAAGGAGCCAGGAAGATGCAACAGGGAAAGAATAGTCTCTTCAATAAGTAGTTTAGGGAACACTAGACAGCCACATGTAAAAGAAAGAAACTGGATCACTATCTTTCACCACACACAAAGATAAACTCAAAATGGATTAAAGACTTGAATGTTAAGACCTGAAACCAAAAAACTCCTAAAACAAAACAAAGGGATAATCTCCTTGACATTGGTCTTGGCAAAGTGTTTTTAAAATTTAACACCATAAGCAAAGGCAACAAAAGCAAAAATAAACAAATGTAACTACATCGAATGAAAAATCTTCTGCCCAGCGAAGGAAACCATCAACAAAATGAAAAAGCAACCTACAGAATGGGAGAAAATATTTGTAGATCATCTACCTGATGAAGTTAATATCCAAAATATATAAGAACTCATACAACTCAGTAGGAAAAAAATATCTGATTAAATCTGGGCAGAGGACCTGAATAAACATTTTTCCAAAAAGGACATAAAAAGGGTCAACAAGTAACTGAAAAAAATGTTCAACATCACTAATTATTAAGGAAAGGAAAATCAAAACCACAATGAGATATCAACTCACACCTGTCAGAATGGCTATTATCCAAAAGACAATAAGTAACAAGTGTTGATAAGGATGTGGAGAAAGCAAACATTTATGCACTGTTGGTGGGAATATAGATTTTGCACAGCCACCATGGAAAACAGTATGGAGGTTCCTCAAAAATTAATAATAGAACTACCACATGACCCAGCAATTCCAGTTTTGGGTATATCTCTGGAGGATATGAAAACACTACCTTGAAGAGATATATTCACTTCCATGTTCATTGCAAGATTATTCACAATGGCCAAGATGTATGAACAACATAACTATCCATCAATGGATAAGTAGATAAAGAAAATGTGGTATGTATATGTGATAGAATATTACTCAACCATAAAAAGGAAGGAAATATTGCCATTTGTGACAACATGATGGACTTGGAAGGTATTATGCTAAGTGAAATAAGTCAGACAGAAAGACAAATACTGTATGGTCTTACTTATATGTGGAATCTTAAAAAATAACAATAAACTGAACTCATAGAACAGATGGGTGGTTGCCAGAGGTGAGGGGAGGGAAGGTGGAATGTGTTAGGTGGTCGAAAAGTACAAACTTCCAGTTATAAATAAATCCTGGGATATAATGCACAACATGGTGACTATAGCTAAGAATACTTTACTGTATATTTGAAAGTTGCTAAAAGAGTATATCGTAAAAGTTCTCATCATAAGAAAAAAAATGTAACTGTGTGGTCGCAGATGTTTACTAAACTTTTTGTAGTAATCATTTTGCAATATATACATATGTCAAATCATTGTGCTTTATACCTAAAAGTAATACAATGTTATACGTCAGTTATATCTCAGTAATAATAATAATAAGACATAGAGAACTTTCTATTATTAATATCTTGGGTGTTGAAAGATTTAAGTTACAAAGCTCTGAAAAACAATGTGCCAACGCTACCGGACAGTAGTTGAAAATAAGGAAGACAACCAAATAAATATTTGCATGTTGGGGAGGACTGGGTTTGAGGGAGGCAAAGGAGGCTGTAGGTTGCATTCATCTAGAGCAAAATCTCCTCATAGGGATTATGATGCTTCTTGATTGTTGGTTTCTTGCTTCTCTTTGAACACTGCAGTGTGTAGTAGGCATTCAAAGTGTTTGCTTTGAATGTTTGCCTGACTGATGAAAGATGCAGTTACAAAAATCTGTTGACCATTTAATGACTGATTTTTTTTAAGTTCTTTAAAATTGTTTAGCATCTAGTTTGTCTATTGAGGAAGTGAATTTTTCTTCATTGAAATTATACAGCAGTTTATTCTGTGTGTCAAACTCAAGTTTTCTCAGAAAAAAAATTCTATCAAAATTCCTAAGTGTTTAGCAGGAGATGACCTGAATTGCATAGGAAGGCTGGTTCCTTAAAATCAAACAAATGGGGACTTTCCTGGCAGTCCAGTGGTTAAGACTCTGCGTTTCCACTGTGGGGGGCAAAGGTTGGATCCCCATCGGGGAACTAAGATCCCACGTGCGGCGCAGTGCAGCCAAGCAGAAACAAAAACAAAAGACAAACACAAATGGTAAACTCACATAATGTAAACACACCTTGGGGTTATATTCACTGTTACTGTAGACTTATTATGGTTTCTCACAGCCCCGAGGACAGTTTGGAGTAGAAAAAAATGCAAATGATTTCCAAGTTCTCTTCCATGTACAATCTGGCTTGTGGTTTCAGATTGGCTTGTGGTTTCAGTTTGGGTGGGGATTCAGTTTCCTGCAGCGACATTTCAAAAACCCCTTCCACTTTCAGTTGTTTCATACTGTAATCCTCCGCCCTCTGGTAGAGTGGAGTGGAAAGAAAAGAAATCTCCAGGACTGGGTAAGAAAAAAGTATATCAGAAACCAACACAGCTAACCTGAGGGACAGATTTAGAACTCTTGCCAATTTCTCATTGAAGCACCTTTCTTACCAGCTCTAAAAGATCTCTGCTACTGATTTCACCGTTAAGGTAAGTCTGGGGCAAGGGTGGAAAGGGTCAGGATGTCTTAAAAAGTCTGTTCACGATACACTGCAGCTGAGCTCAACGTGGAGTATCAGCTCTTATTAAAGGTAAATTGTGGTGTTGTCAGGCAGGCAGCAGAATTCATTGAGTGCCAGTTCCACTGAATTAGACAAGAGCACATGTGGGGACTGAGAGTTTGAAATGTCTTCATACTGTTTTTCTTCCTTTGCCACCCTATGATCTGTGGGGATCATAATTGCCACTTAAGTTACCTTTGATAAAACCTGATAAAGATCCTTCAAACTGAAACCTTAACTTTTGAAGAACTATGACTGTACTGTTTTCATGAGAAAGAGCATTGAACGAAATGTAATGTAAATGGTTTGCTTACCTTGTTAAGGACAAAAAGAAGAAAGAAAAAAGTTGAAACCCAGAATGAACAACGAAGAAGTTTTATGAAAATGGCTGTATATTTTAGTCATAGTCCTGCACTTTTTTGCAGATGAATTTCTTCCTTTAGAAAGAACCCTGAGTGAATTAGTCTTTATTTATTGGCACCCACTCATTCCTTAAGGCCCTTTGTGTTGGACTTTGCTTCCACTCCTCTAATGATTCTACTATTATGAATCACTTTTTGTTTTTTATGTATTTTTCATTGTTGTTTTGTTTTGTTTTGGCTGCACCGCACGGCACTTGGGACCTTTAGTCCAGGGACTGAACCCCTGCCCTCTGCAGTGGAAGCGTGGAGCTTTAACCACTGGGCCTCCACGGAAGTCCCAACGAATCACTTAACACTGTCCGGAAATTTTGTTTACTCCTTGAAACTTCCTCCTCCTTTGAATTTCTTTTCACGGCACATACTTCGCGCATCTCCTTCTTGCTTGCTTTCCATTTTTCTCATTAAGAAGAGCTTTTTCCTTTTCAAACCAAAAACAACACAAAGTAAAGGCAACCAACATAAAAGTAACACAAAACGCATCTAGAATTGTATGACTGAAAACAGAGATGTCTTCTTCTTGAAACTCCATCAGTAGTCCTTCCGAGCCTTTTCTCTTATATTTCTTAGCATTTTCCTTCTTTACACATTTTTTCCTTTCCTACAGCTCTCTCTCTCTTTTTTAAGCTAGCAGTTATACTGATGTATATAAATAGTTATTTATTTACTTTCTTTTTCTGAAGATAGGCTTAGAGTGTTTAGTGAAATGCCAGTGTCACACAGAGAGCCAGGTGGAGGTCTGAGATTGGAAATCAGATCTGCCCTATTTCAAAGTCAAAATGTATATTTGTATTTCTGTGTGTTTTGATGCATTCTTGCATTGTTTTTATTTACAAAAGAGTATGGGGCTCTAACAGAGTTAGGGAGAAGAATGCAACTCAGAGCACACATCATAGGCTGAGTTATGATAGAGTAATAGTCATGTATGGGGCTCAAACACATTGAATCTGCAGAGAGGTTTTGGCGATTGGGCTGTCCTAAAAACATTAAAGATGTTACCCGGGTAACATCTGGGGACAATGTATAAAATACTTTCATTAATATAGATACACAGCACTAAATGTTATTCATTAGGAGGTCTGAAAATTCAGACAGGCTAGCTTCCTTTCCCATTAGTGACCTCATTCCAAAGCACAAGAGCTTGTAGGTTCCCAAAATCTGCAAATAGATGTAGATTGTGTATCTTCTGTCTTTCTAGCTAACTGTTATAGATCATCACTGCCAGGTCCCCATATCTTTCGAACCTAGAAATGATTATGACCCCTGCTATATACAAATCAGATAACAGAACTCAACAAGCATAAGGTGCCAATACTGCATTGGCAGTGGATTAGAGTAAAAAGAAACTTTGCATTTGGGAATGTAAAATTATGTGTGATCCCCTCTTTTTGGATGTGGCTTGGACTGAACATTTCCTGGCTCCCATGCCCTGACGCGATGATATTTGCAATGGATATATTATCTGTTGCCAAGCAGTTTCTGTTTTTATTTATCTGTCATCTGGATAATCTCTGGGGCATTGGCTATGAAGAAAGGGGGAGAATGGGTCTTTATAACTTTTTAAAAGCTATCAAGGGAATCCAGACCTTTGCACTGTAAGATTTCAGTTTTTTAAAAGAGGCAAGCAGATGGTGGATTTTTAGCTTCTGTTGAAAAGAATCACTTCTAAAATGGAAGAAAATTGTTCTTTATGATGTAGCAAGGCAGAAAAGCAAGCATTTGTTTTAATCTCAGATAGCTTAAACGCGTTTTATTGGGGACTCTTTAGGTTACAGAAATTGATGCCCAGAAATTAGAAAATAAATGGTTACGTATTATTTAAGAAAGTATTTTCACTCACTTTCTCATTCATAAAATGAACACTCATTAAAGTTTTGACTGAAGAACACACATTAATAGCTACATAAAAAATTCTTTAAAAGTAGAGCTTTAAGAAGTAAACAACTGTTATTTGTTAGATAATGCTACATAATGACCTGGCAGGATTTAGTATAATACACTTTGACTGGACATAGCCCTAAATTAGAGAAAAGCAAGTTGATAACAGTATGAAAGCAAGAAGCGTCATGTAACAAATAGTGGCCATAAAGATTCAATCTGGGGATTCAAAGAGGTAAAAACTAAGAAATAGAAGCCAGCCCAAACCAGTGGGGAAGCGTCAGACTCAAAATAGCGGTAAACTAGTCTCAGAAAATGGTTTTCCATAAGGCCACCCAATATTTAAGAACCAGTGGGGTAGCCTATAGTAGAACTCTGAAGGGACTAAGACATATGTTGCTATGACCCTCTTTGCTCTTTTGTCTTTTTTAAACTTCTTCAGAAACTTAGGCCATGCTGCAGAGTAGTATGCCTGCAGGTTGAGGAAGCAAAATGATTTTTCTCTGTTTAAAGTCTAGAAATTCCAGTCTATCCCATCACTTCCCTTGCAGGTCAGGTGACCCCCCTGAACATGGCCCCAGTGGTTCACATGCCAGAACCCTTGTGCCTCATTGAGAACATTAATGGGCTACTGTTGGTTAATCCGAAAGCTCTGAAGACCCTGTCTGCCATTCAGCAGCCCGTTGTGGTGGTGGCTACCGTGGGCCTCTACCGCACCGGCAAATCCTACCTGATGAACAAGCTGGCTGGGAAGAACAAGGGTGAGTGGCCCCAGCAAAGCCCAGCCAAGTCCCTTCTGTCCACCCACACTCCCAGAATGCAGGAAGGTGATGCAAGGACAGGAAGTTAGAGATGCGGAGGAATATTGAAAGCTAATGTTTGGGCCACAGATAGTTAATTATCTTCTGGGAGATAAAGGGTTGAGTTCTGTTTCTGACATATCACCCCTTTTTTCTTAGAAAAATCATACTATTTTCCAATTATAAGGGTAAGACATCATTAAAATACTTCTACATATGTAGTTACAAATGATTAAAATTTTAATAGTGTAATATTCTTGCAAAAAAATCCATCAAATTTCCAGCCTACAGTACTTGGTATTCTTATTATCTCATCCCTCTATTGTAATTCAGATCAATACTGGGTTATACTTTCTGCCATATCTTCATCTTGCTTTCCTTAAATGGTAACTCAGTTATCAAGAAAGTCTCCAATTTCCAGATCCCCTCCTCAATTACACCCTCTCCACTCCCCATTGCAGGTTTCTCTGTTGGATCCACGGTGCAGTCTCACACCAAGGGCATCTGGATGTGGTGTGTGCCTCACCCTGAGAAGCCAAACCACATCCTGGTTCTTCTTGACACGGAGGGACTTGGAGACATAGAGAAGGCAAGGAACAAGGATTCCTTTTTTTTTTTTTTTTTGCGGTACGCGGGCCTCTCACTGTTGTGGCCCAGCCGCTCCGGCGGCATGTGGGATCTTCCTGGACCGGGGCACGAACCCGTGTCCCCTGCATCCGCAGGCGGACTCTCAACTACTGCGCCACCAGTGAAGCCCAGGATTCCTTTTTAATCAACCTCCTCATCCCTGAACATTCTTTACACAGGGAGATTTTTTTTTTTGTGCTTCTGCTTGACCAGGGTATACCTTTTTTCCCCCTCTCTATTTTTAATAGTCAAAGTTTGGAAACCTGAAGTGAGAAAAATATATGTATAAGCCAGAATCATAATTGGGAGGCTGTGCTAACATGGAGATAGGCACTTAACCGAACTGCAGAAAGGTGGTACGAACAAAATCACTGTCATGAGTCTGACCCTGTAGAGGATAGAGATATGCAGTAAGCTTCAGGGCAGTGGGACTTGAGTCCAAATCAGGGTCCAGGCACTAGGAGCTCTCGGACTCTGACAAGCAAGAAAAAGTCTCCTGAAATCTTCTATTTCCCCTTTGGTCTCATCCATTTTATCATTTGCACAGGAGTAACGTGGGAATTTTCCACTTCTACGCTGGTAAGTGTCTAACAACCAGCCCACTGGGGAAGAAAAGCCTTGCTTTGTAGTACTTGCCAGTTTTCCAAGTACTCCCATAACAGCTCACTCCAAGCTACCAAAGTCGTCACTAAACTCAGGGCTCAGGAAAGACGTACACAGCCAGCTCTCGTGAGCTGGCTCGAGCACAACACTGGATCTTTCCCTTGAGCTCTCATTTTTTATGTCTTCATTTTGCCTTTAATTTACCACAATTCAAAATAGTTAACTCCTTTTTTCTTTAGTTTCCTCACCTGTAACATGGAGACTGTAGTTAAAAACTTATCTCGACAGTACCAGGAATCAAAACATGTTTCTGCTCCAGTCCTGCTGACCTGTGCAGAATTATCTCTGATCCATTTTACATTTTAAACATTATCTGAAACCAAGGGGAAAAAGTATGACAGTAGTCTGTGGAGAAGAGGCTCTGGGGCTCAGGCTGATAAGGACTTTACCTTTCTCATCCCTACCAGATTAGACAATCACCTGGAGAACTGTCAGAAGTGGCCCCCATGTACAGGGACTGTATATCTTTGTATCTTAGCATCTTTTTTGTTGTTGTTGCATCTTCTGTGTACAGATCCCAACGCAAAGAAAGTGCCCTGGAGCCCAAGGTTGGGGGTATCCAGTTTAGATTACATGTTCTAAAAGAGGGAGAGAACCATTTAGAGGTTTGTATTGAATACACTGAAGGTTCTCCTTTGCAGGGCTCCTGATCCATTTGTGCAGCAGAGAAATACCAAGTCAATTCAGAGAACTGCCTTATTACCTGTGCAGTTTATTCACATCCTTCACCCCCAGTAGGCTCCTGAATATGTAGCCGTAATACATCCCTACTCTTTGAGCAATTCTGGTGCTGAAGCTTAGCTGTATGCCGTCACTTGTCCCATCCCTCTCTCTAAAAAAAAAAAAAAAAAAAAAAAAAGAAAAAGAAAAACGTATCGAACCATCTTGTATATAAAAGCTACTCAATAAAATAGATGCATGTATTATGTATACAGACCAACTTTGTTTTACACAATTGAAAATCTTGATTTTAAGCACTCTGGTTACCTTCACGAACTTTGACTACCCATTTTTCAAATGCCTAACCAGTTATAAGAGGGACTGATAAGTTAACAAAATATGGTTTTGTATAAAATTATCAATGCTAATGGCAGAACTATTCAAAGCTCATATGTTTCTCACAACCATTTCTGTTCGTCTTGGCTAACATTTGTAAGTCAAGGGTCTTTTTTTTTTTTTTTTTTTTTTTTTTTGCGGTACGTGGGCCTCTCACTGTTGTGGCCTCTCCCGTTGCGGAGCACAGGCTCCGGACGCGCAGGCGCAGCGGCCATGGCTCACGGGCCCAGCCGCTCCGGCGGCATGTGGGATCCTCCCGGACCGGGTCACGAACCCGTGTCCACTGTATCGGCAGGCGGACTCTCAACCACTGCACCACCAGGGAAGCCCAAGGGTCTATTTTTAATAACTGTTCATATGGGAATGCCATGAGACATGACTGAAATTTGTTCTGACTTCTAGGGTGACAAGAAGAGTGACACCCAGATATTTGTACTGGCACTACTACTGAGTAGTACCTTTGTATATAATACTATGAACACAATTGACCAGAGGGCTATCGACCTCTTGCAGTATCCTTTTGTTGTCCAGGATGGCACCAAAGCCAGAGAGAACTGCTTTATTCACCAGCTATGTTCATGAGTCCTTGTGTATCAAACACAAGAATGAAAACATTGTAAACATTAAAAGGACAAGACAACCCTCAGAATGGGAGAAAATATTTACAAATGAAGCAACTGACAAAGGATTAATCTCCAAAATATACAAGCAGCTCATGCAGCTCAATATCAAAAAAACAAACAACCCAATCCAAAAATGGGCAGAAGACCTAAATAGACATTTCTACAAAGAAGATATACAGTCTGCCAACAAACACATGAAAGAATGCTCAACATCACTAATCATTAGAGAAATGCAAATCAAAACTACAATGAAGTATCACCTCACACCGGTCAGAATGGCCATCATCAAAAAATCTACAAACAATTAATGCTGGAGAGGGTGTGGAGAAAAGGGAACCCTCTTGTACTGTTGGTGGGAATGTAACTTGATACAGCCACTATGGAGAACAGTATGGAGGTTCCTTAAAAAACTAAAAATAGAACTACCATACGACCCAGCAATCCCACTACTGGGCATATACTCTGAGAAAACCATAATTCAAAGAGTCATGTACCACAGTGTTCATTGCAGCTCTATTTACAATAGCCAGGACATGGAAGCAACCTAAGTGTCCATCAACAGATGAATGGATAAAGAAGATGTGGCACATATATACAATGGAATATTACTCAGCCATAATAAAAACAAAATTGAGTTATTTGTAGTGAGGTGGATGGACCTAGAGTCTGTCATACAGAGTGAAGTAAGTCAGAAAGAGAAAAACAAATACCGTATGCTAACACATATATATGGAACCTAAAAAAAAAAAAAAAAGGTTGTGAAGAACCTAGGGGCAGGACAGAAGTAAAGACACAGATGTGGAGAGTAGACTTGAGGACATGGGGTGGGGGAAGGGTGGGCTGGGATGAGGTGAGAGAGTGGCATGGACATGGCTGGTGGGAAGCAGCTGCATAGCACAGGGAGATCAGCTTGGTGCTTTGTGACCACCTAGAGCGGTGGGATAGGGAGGGTGGGAGGGAGGGAGACGCAAGAGGGAGGGGATATGGGGATATATGTATACGGATAGCTGATTCACTTTGTTATACAGCAGAAACTAACACACCATCGTAAAGCAATTATACTCCAATAGAGATGTTGGGGAAAAAAAGGGGCAAGAAAAAGAGTCCTTTTATTTACTGATGAAATGAGGATTGGTAATAACCCAAAGGCAATATAAAAGTATAGGAGGGCATGGAATTAAATATGGTTTAGACGCAGTTCTATTTCCAACAGTTTTCCTTAATTGCATCTCAGCTATGTGACAGAACTGTCAAATCTGCTCAGAACAGTTACCTCACCTGATCTTGATGGGGAAGACAATGCAGCTGACTTTATGAGCGTCTGTCCAGACTTAGTGTGGACTGTGAGAGATTTCCACCTTGACCTGGAAGCAAATGGGCGACCCATCACAGCAGATGAGTACCTGGAGAATTCGTTGAGGCCAAAGCAGGGTAACAGGGACTTCAGTTTTGGAAAGAGGGAGAAAAGTAGCACAAGAAATCATCTCTTGTGTGTTGCTGGTTAAAGTTATAGTTTCCTATATTTACTCACCTGACTAAATCATCACATAAATTAATACTGTTGATTTAAAGTGAACTAATACATTCAATATTAAATTGTATTACTCCCTTGTTCTTGGAGCAAGTTACTTTTCCATTTTCCTTTCCCTGATTGATCACATTTTAAGTTTTTGCTTAGGGTTTGTGAAAATGTAGTGAAATAAATAACAGTAGGTAGAAAGCACATTTATTTGTGGGAAAGAGATTAAAATGAAAGTTAACCCTATACTAAATAATCCTATTTTTCCTTCCTCAGGCACCGATCAACATCTTCAAAATTTTAATTTGCCCCGTCTGTGTATACAGAAATTCTTTCCAATAAAGAAATGCTTTATTTTTGACTTGCCCACTCATCGGAAGAAGCTTGCCCAGCTTGAGACACTGCATAATGATGACCTGGATCCTGAATTTGTACAGCAAGTGGCAGATTTCTGTTCCTACGTCTTCAGCCATTCCAAGACTAAAACTCTTTCAGGAGGCATCAAGGTCAATGGATCTCGTGAGTACCTCTTCAAGGATTTTCCTTCAATCCAAAATAGAGAATGGGAGCACTGTTGTAGTTTTCTCCTTCCACTGTTGAAAATACATAGTCAGCTACTACCAAGAAAACCATATGTATCATATTTATTAAACTCAGGTGAGTACCAAAAATATTTCTAGGCTTTTTTAGCAATGCCTGCAAAGTAAGATAAATCAGGAATATAACCTGATGAAAAGGTCAGGTTAAAAAAGTTCTACCTGTAAGTGGTCCACTGTTGAACTAGACTAACCCACATGGGTTGGCAGCATTTGTTCTACCGATATCATGGATACTTATTATGCCTTTGATAGGCAGAAGATGAGGAAAACACATACATTCTCTGTATAAATAGAATGTGCTTGATACAAACGTTAAACAAGCAGATGCCCAAGTTGTCTAGAGCCCTTAAAGAAATCTGAGCAGACTTCTTGGTCCAGTTGTTCCTAAATACTCTATGTCTTGGAACTTTGTCAATTATTGCTACGCTCTAAAGGGAAGTTGAGTGCAAACAAAAATAGCTAAGGACAAGGAAGACAAACAGGAATGTTCCAACAAAGAGTAAGGTGAACTGGTCTAATTGGCCTACTTTGTGATCTTTCCAATGAGGGTAACACTCATACGAGCTTTACAGGTTGAAGTGGAGGAGAAAATGGAATTCTGAAGGAAACAGAAGCCTGAGGAAGAGAGAAAGAATGGGAAGTATAAAGAGGCAAAAGGTCTATAGTATTCTAATCAAACGAATACACACAATTTTATATAACCATTTCCACATTTCTCAATGAGAAAATGATGAAATGTGGATCATCACATAGATCTTGAACTTTCCTCTTTGAACACTTTCTTTTCTCAAAGAATTAAAGATCTGTCTTCTTGGTCACATGATTTCCCAAAGGAACTTATTTGGGCCACATGAACACTGTGCAGGAGGCTGAATACGCTAAATTAACATTCTCAGAATTACTCAGTTCAGAGCATGTCCCTTTTCGCTGCAAATAATTCAAGCATCTCTTCCTCCTGTGAAGGTCTAGAGAGCCTGGTATGGACCTATGTCAATGCCATCAACAATGGGGATCTGCCCTGCATGGAGAACGAAGTCCTGGCCTTGGCCCAGATTAAGAACTCAGCCGCAGTGCAAAAGGCCATTGCCCACTATGACCAGCAGATGGGCCAGAAGCTGCAGCTGCCCACGGAAACCCTCCAGGAGCTGCTGGACCTGCACAGGGTCAGTGAGAAAGGGGCTATGGAAGTCTTCATGAAGAACTCTTTCGAGGATATAGACCAAGGGTTCCAGGAAAAATTAGAGGTAATTAAGTTTTATTGCTAGAGTTCATGGGGCTTAGGGGCAATATAGGCAAGGTATTGCTATGAGGCAAAAATGAGGCAAAATGAGGACTTAATTAAGAGAAACAATTCTTAGTAGACTGAGAGACAATGACTATCACTTATGTGACCAAGATATCACTATTATTCTGAAAACAAACAAACAAAAAACCAAACAAATAAACATGTAACTACTCTGGACCCTATAGATTCTGAAACTTTCACATGCAGACAACTCAACTTACTATGTTACACCCATGGACTAATTTTTTTAAAAGTAATCTTATCCCTTAAAAAATGTATTCATAAAGTACTAATTAACTTTCCTTTTTTATTAATCAAGCATACAGAATTGCCAAATGGATCTACTAAAATATTATGTCCCTAGGTTTAATAGCACACACTCATCCATTCTACCTCATTGGGAATCCCAGCCCAGTATAATACTGGGATGGTTGTAAAACAGTTGGTTGCATTTAAAATTAGGGCATGAGGCTAGAGATCTGCAGTTTGAAGAGCCTATCTAAAGCAGAAAAAGCAAAAGAATGGGGTTCCAGGAGATTTCAAAAACAAAAGTAAAGTCATTTTTCTACAGTGTATCATCCTTGGAACTTCTCTAGGTTTGGTAGGGAGGATATAGTATTGCTTGTAGTCCTTGAATTTACAGAAAAAATACAGAGATTCTTTTTGTAAGCCATTTCTAAAAGTACTGTAGTGTTGCTAACGCCTTTTCCATGGGACTTTTTCCCTTTAAGACCCTGCTAGAAGCCAAGCAGAATGACTTTTGTAAAAGGAATTTGGAGGCTTCACTGAATCGCTGTTCAGCTTTACTTCAGGATATTTTTTGTCCTCTAGAAGAAGATGTGAAGCAAGGGATTTATTCAAAACCTGGGGGGCATCGTCTCTTCCTTCAGAAGAGAGAAGAGCTGAAGGCAAAGTACTATCAGGTGCCCAGGAAAGGAATACAGGTATCCCTAGTTTTATGTATTAATTATGGGGAATTGCTAGGGGTCTTCTTTTTTTGGACAGGAAGAATGAGAGCTGTGGTATTAAACTGAACTATCACCATAGTCACCAGACTTTTATCGCAACCTTCAACACTAATTGCAACAAAGGGACTTTTTTGGTTACACAGTACAGAATCCCAATAATTGAACTAACTTAAGAAAATAATTCACTGGCTCACATAAACTAAAGGCAAAATGTTTAAATTTAGTTGTAAGTGTAGATATGTTCAAGAGTTTAACATAATCAGTTGATTACATGTAACAATGTAATCAATTTTCCCCTTTCCTTTTTCTTTCCAATCTCAACTCCAGCTTTCTGTTCTGTTTTCCTCACCATTGGCGTCATTCTCAGGCAGGCTCACCCCACATGGCAGCAAAGATGACACCAACAGCTCGCAGCTTAACTAGTCCTTTGTGCCCTCAGTCTCACAGGAGAGAAAGCATCTTTCCCACCATCCATATCAGTCTTTAAAACACCCAAGCTGCAGTATTTTCCCGCCTGTACCCAAATATTTTGCATCAAGTGGCCTTGGGTACTCTAATAGGCCAGCCTGGAGCTTGTGCCCACCCCTTGACAGAAAAGGCTTGACATAGTTTCACCAAGTACAGACTGAGCACTTCCAGGGAGGAAAAGATGCTGGGAAGAAAAATAAATAAAGAGGTTTATAACTTTTCTAATCATTTCCTAGCTCTAACTGCATTTTTTGGGGTTCCTAGGCTGAGGAAGCTCTGCAGAAATATTTACAGTCCAAGGAGTCTGTGAGTGATACCATTTGGCAGACAGATCTGGTTCTCACAGCAAGGGAAAAGGAGATGGAAGGTGAGAAGAAAATGGAGAAAAAAAAATGCAAGACAGAAATTCTATACATTTTAAATTAATTTGGCCTGGTTCACCTGGGATCATTAAACAAGAGCAAGAATGGCAAAGACGTGCCATTCTTAGCTCCTCAGTCTATATTTGAATAGGGCACATACCGTCAGCTACAATATGATTACCTGGAGGGGAAATATGACTCCAGGGAATCTCCTCTATGAAGTAGCAGCAATAACAAGTGAGTGGGAGGCAGAAGGAAGGGAAGAAGTTTGCCATTTTCTTCCTTTTCAGTGGCACGTGTGAAAGCAGAGTTTATGAAGGCTGAAAAAGAAAGGTTGGGGGCAATTCTAATGCAGCACCAGCAAATGATGGAGCGGAGGGAGAGACTCCATTGGGAACAAGTGAGACAAATGGAGATAAAAAGATTGTACCAACAGGCCCTGCAACAGAGGGACCAAGAACGTCGGCTCAAGGTACTCATCAATTATTTCATTTCTGGATTTTAATCCTATACCCCTCTCTGTATTGATGAAAACATGAAGCAGTGACAATGTGGGAGAGGCAGCATAATATTGTGGCTCAGGGCAAGGACTCTGGAATCAGACAGCCTGGGTAAAAAAGCCAGCTCCACTTCTTATAAATATATTACATATATTATAAATATATTGTTTGGAGATGGTTATAATACCTATTTTATAGGGCTGTTTTGATACTTAAATGAGTCAATATTTGTGTTTAGAATGATGCTTGGCACAGCATAAGCACTATTAATTTGTTAAGCAAAATCCAAGGATATTTCTAACCCACGGTAATTAGTCTTTTTTGTTATCTTGTTAATTGCTCTAGCTAGTCGTTTCCACTGGTCATAGATTACCTTGCTAAATTAATTTCATATTACTGTGTTTATGCCCCTTTCCCTTCCTTAATTGTCACTGGTTCTGAAAGCCTTTAACTTGTTTCATCCAGTCCTCTACTATTATTATCACTCAATTAACAGTAGTTCTTATTTACCAAGCACTGTACAAAGCACTTTACACACATTCTCTAATCTAATCTATTCACTGTGAATCACAACCATTATGTCCTTATTTTTCTGATTAGAAAAATTAGGTTCCAAAGAGATAACTAAATGCCAATATCATACATCCTAGCAAGTTATCAAAACAGCCTTCCCAGTGAGTGAGATCTACAATGCTTTCGTTTCTACAAACCTAGTCTGAAATTCTTATGTGAGCACGCTTATGAGACAAAGGACACCTTCCTCCTCCTCCAGGGTGGCTGATCTACCTGTAGGTCCTTGTTTTCCAGACACTGCTCCAAGACAATTTTGAAATTACAGACCTGCACTGAAGGACAATATTTTCAACCTGGTGTTTCTGATCTCCCCACACTGTCCTTCTACTTTTACCCCATAACTGTGGAGACATGAAACAAATTCCCTTATCTAAGGCTCAGACTCCTCACCTGATTGTGGATATCACCTAGACACCTAGTTGTTGTATCAATCTCTCCTTGTAATACTAGATCTGACATTCCTGTGTGTATACATGAGAATTGAAGTCAAGATGTGACTCAGATTCCCTAAGGACAAAGGGGGAAGGGGCCCTAGGATATAATTCTTGGAACACCAATAGTTCAGGGATTGAGAGATGAGGATGTTTCTGTAGCTAGATAAAGAAGCATGGAAGAAGAATTACACAAGTAGAAAACCAAGTGTGAGACGTAAAATGGACATGAACAGAAAGGAGGAATCAGGGTCTGTCTTTTGTTACTGATTGATTAAAATAACTAAGGGAAAGTCAATGATTTGGGCTCCTTCCCTCCCCCCTCCTCCTGCAGAGATCTGGACATTACGTTTTGCTAAGCTCTTTGGTTTTATGTATCACTCTTTAGGAGGAGGCTGAAAAGCTCAAGGAGAGCTTCCAAGCTGAGAGCAGAAAACTTCAGGATGAGATCCAGCATCTCCAGAGGAATGACTCACCAGATGATACATGTATCTTACTCTAAAGAACTAAACACTAGAACTTCATTTTCTTCTTCACTTTCACTGAAGACACAAAGGAACAAGAAACTATAGAACTTGAGACAATCACCATTTAAATAAACTTCATAATAATTATACTGAGCTTTTGTATTGAGTTATAAGGTTATGATGCTCATAATTGGTAAAACGTGCATTTCACTAATTTCAATAGTTTAAATGTTGTTTGCTTCCTTAAAGAGATTATGACTTGTATTATAAGGGACATATTATCATTGCCGCTATTGGCAGTGATATTGGGCAGGATCTATAAAGGGAAACTTTCTCTTGTACACCAATACCACCCCTCTAATTTTCCATATTTGTCTCAATGGGGATTGGAAGAGACCTGGGAGGGTGTTTCTACAATAAACTAAGTCACATGGAATTTGCCCAGTGACTTGGACTCAGGTGGGCATCACTCCTGCCAAGTGGTTTTGTGCTGGATGCCATCAGGGAGAGGCACTGATGATAAAACACACGCAAAAAAACTAACCAAGCTTAGTAGTGGAGACGTGTGTGGTTCTCAACTGGGTGGAGGCTGCTCAGTCTATGGGCAATTATATGACTCCTGGTCATGGTCAGTAGACAGTCTGCTTAGACTATTCTAAGCTGTAAGCAAATAACATCATAATGAAATAGAGGTGCTCTAGAAGATGGAAGGAACTACCAGCATGGAAATTGTGTCATAGGCTGAAGAGCTAAAGAAGCCTAACCTTCCTGTTATCCTCACCAAGGGCATAACTTAAATAGGACACTATATATTATGAAGCAATTTATATTGGACTTGGTGATTGTGTATCACATCTTTATAATCCTTTAAGTCTGTAAATAAATGGTATAAGGCAGGGGTTCCCAATGCCTGGGCCATGGACAAGTACCAGTCCATGGCCTGTTAGAAACCAGGTCGCACAGCAGGAGGTGAGCAGCTAGCAAGCGAGCAAAGTTTCATCTGTATTTACAGCCACTCCCCACTGCTCGCATTACCACCTGAGCTCCGCCTCCTGTCAGATCAGCGGCGGCATTAGATTCTCATAGGAGCGCGAACCCTCTTGTGAACTGTGCATGCGAGGGATCTAGGTTGCACGCTCCTTGTGAGAATCTAATGCCTGATGATCTGAGGGGAAGCTGAGGTGGTGATGCTAGTGCTGGGGAGCGGCTGAAAACACAGATTATCATTAGCAGAGAGGTTTGACTGCACAGAGACCATAATAAATCAATTGCTTGCAGACATATCAAAACCCTATCAGTGAGTGACAAGCGAAAACAAGCTCAGGGCCCCCACTGATTCTGCTTTATGGTGAGTTGTATAATTATTTCATTATGTATTACAATGTAATAATAATAGAAATAAAGTGCACAATAAATGTAATGCGTTTGAATCATCCCGAAACAATCCCCCCTCCCCCAGTCCATGGAAAAATTGTCTTCCATGAAACCTGTCCCTGATGCCAAAAAGGTTGGGGACTGCTGGTATAAGGTATGCAAGATAATGTTCCACAAGATCTCATGGGACTTATTTAATTTTATGCTTGCTTATAGTACTAAAATTAAATGATTTTAATTCTTTGCAATCATATATGAAAGCCTACTGATTTTTATTAAAAACTATGGATTCTGTAAATATATCTGTGTATATATATTTTAACTGTAAATAACCATACAATTTTTTAAAATAACTATACTACTTTGTGTTTTTTTCCTCCCAATAGTTAAAAGTCTATAGGGAATTCTGAATTTCCCTAAAAATATTGAGAACTTTTTTTGAGAATTATTTTAATATTGGAAATAAAACACATTTTCTTATACCTTTCTATTTGCTTTTTGTTTCTTTGTTTTATAAATCCCTAGTGAAATAGGTTTTAAAAGTTATAGAAACATTATACAAAACTCTATTTTGTTTTCCTTAAATTGCTTACTTATTTATATAAGGTGTTTCCCAATTGGATTACATTATAGGAGCTTGAAATTCTTTAGTTGCTCAAAATATGATTTACTGTTTAAAGAAGAAAAGCACATATTTTAACATCTGTCTTTTTTCCTGTTCTTTGCAGAGTTTTATTACGCTGAATTTCCCATAATCAGATAGGGCCTTGTGCTGTTCAGCTGTATTTCTGGACTTGAACTGAACATCCGAAGGTACCAAAGACCATAACATATTTGACTAAGCATTTACCTAATAATACTTTAATAACTGCCTTTGCAAGCTGTACAATTAATAAAGGAAAAAAATACATCTTAATACCCAAGGAATTGTCATGGTTGAAAAGAACAATGTCTTCAAAATAAATATTGATTTCATTCCCACCTCTCTTAGAAGAGATTTTTAAAAATTGCAACTAAGCAAAATTAAGTCACTTATCTAAGAGTCCAAGCTTGGTACTGGTAGCTTAGAGTATATTACAAAGTGTCTGATTTCTAGTATAATACTTTTTAATTATATTTTCAGGAAAAAAAAATGGCTTCCTCCTTTCTCTTAGAACTTACAGAGGCACATGTTGCTTTCATCAGTCATCCACAAATATTCTTACCTACCACCTTTCATTGGATGTATAATTAGGAGTGAAATGCTCAAGCTATTGGCTACTTATGTTCAACTTTAGTAGTTGATTCCAAATACTTTTCCAAAATACTGAAAATCATCCTTAAAATTATAATGGTTTCTAAAAGCTTTCCAGTAGTAGTATTTTTAGGCCAAAACAACGTATATGTGTTTAATGATTGAGAATTCATAGTAAATATTTATATCTATTTAGAAATGATATACTCATGCAAACTAGTAAAATAATGCGTAGAACGCACTTGGCTATAAATATATGTTTCTGATTCAACAGACTCTAGATAACACCCCCAAAAGAGGAGGAGCATGATGGAGGAGAGTGGAGGAGAAAAAGAAGAGAACAAGGCAGGAGAAGGAAAAGTGAGGTAAAAGGAGCAAAGGATGCTGATTCTGCCAAACTTGTCTGAAATATGCTGGGCATGTACTCTCAGCAAAAAGTGGGTACCACTGTAAAAATAACAGTTCTCCTGTTACAAGGAATTGATGTTTTCCTTCAGGCTGCATCATTCCTCCCACAGTTTTGGGAAGGATTTTTCCTGAGTAGTGGTCCAATCAGTGACCTAACTCTGATATTGAGGTTGGGGATGGACCAGCTCAAGTAATATGAGGGAAGTCCATCTAACAACTAGAATCCAGGATGTCCTGGGACCTTGAATCCTTCAGAGGGCACTTGTGGGAACCCTAGATCAGGCAATTCAGAGGCACTTACTGGTCTTAGACTATGCTGTGTCTGTTAATTCTGTTTTATCAACACAAGTGCTGGTTTTGAAGGCATTGGAGCTATAATAATGACAAATAGGCAAAATGCAAATCAATTGCTTTTGATAGCATAGTTTGATTGACCGGATGCCAAAGTCACAAATTTGAAATTTTCTTAACCTAAAATGAACTAGCCTTGAAAAGTTTTGGAAATGTATAATGGATACTTTCAAGTTTATGATAATCTACTCACATACATATTCAACATTTGGAAATAGATGTCACAGGTAAGAGAGGACGCCAAATTATCTAACTATTGTTTTAATTTCACAGATTGGATCTTAGGACCAAGGGTGTAGATGCTCTTTCCAATTGGCCTCACTTGAGAGGCACCAAATCTGTTTCTATGGAATGGAGTTAGGGCAAAATGAGAAGCAATCAAGACTCCAGGGCTGCATCTGCAGTAGTGCTTATGATCACCATTGATGATGTGGCTTGAAGTGAATATGCTCAGTTAGTGGTAGAAGAGGAGAAAAGGTAGAGTCAGCTCAACCTGTGTTGAGGGACAAGGAACAGAAGGAAGATCAGTGCCTCTCAGGGAGGGACAGAGGACAGCCTTTTGTCTTTTTTCACATTCACAAATACATGATGCCATATCTAGAATACTTTCTTTTATCTATGTGTCTATCCTACAAATATGAAATCTTCGTAATCACCTTACTCCCCCCAACAACAGTTTAAATTTTCATTGGGATTACATTGAATCCATTAAAAAATATTTCTATCAGCTCTGCTTTGAAATCTCTGTATTTACATCCATTTTGAAACTTTTTTACTGAGTAAAGAAATTTGAGTTGTTTTTTTATTCAGTACTTTAGAAATGTTTTTCCACTTTGCCTAACTTGCACAGTTTCCAGAAAGAAGTTGTTCACCTTCTTACTCTTGTTTTTCTGTATGTAGTGTCTGTTTTTCTTGTAGCCTTCAAGATCTTTTATGTTTAGATTTCATTATTTTGCCTATGGTGTGTTTAGGTGTGTTTTTCTTTGTATTTATCCTACTTGGGTTTCTCTGAACTTCTGAATCTGTAGTGTGCTTTCAGTAATAGAAAGTTCCCTTTCCTTTCCATTTCCTAATATTACAATTACATGTATATTGTTTTGATATTGTTTTGTGAGATGTGCTGAGCTACTGGTTGCTCAGTTATTTCTTTCACTCCTTGAATATCTTCATGGTTCAGTTTGATTAATTTCTATTGACCTATCTAAAGTTCTCTGATTCTTTCCTCTACTGGGTACTCATTCAGTCATCCGTTAAACCCATTAAAGGACTTCTTCATTTTCACTTACAGCATTTCCATCTGACTCTACTAATAGTTTCCACTTCTCCGCTGAAAACTCACATCTGTTCACTGTGTTCATCTTTCCACTAGATCCTTTAACATAATAATTATAGTGATTTTAAAAGCCCTGTCTGATGGTTCCAATACTTGGTCTATCTCTGTTTCTGCTGCTTGTTTTATTTCTTCACAATGGATACTTTTCACTTCATTTTTTTCTGTGTCTCATAATTTTTTATTGAATGCTGGCCATTGTGTAAAAAACAGTTGAGATTGAAATAATGTTTATGCTTAGAAATGGGTACATGTCCTTTCTGTTAAGATGTTTGTGGTGACCATTTATTTAATGTAGTTATAATTCAGTTGGATATGGGTTTTGATTTTTCTACAGCTAACTTCAGTGTACCACAAGCTTCAAATTTCTCCAGTGGAGTTCTATAATTACACTGTTCTTTATATAAAGCTTGGAGTGCCAGAAAGTTTGTCTCAGTATTGCTGTTCCACTCCCAGTTTTAGCAGACCCTGAACACTGGTGTCACATGGGTCTTTTATTTCTTTATGATCTTATTCCTATCACAATGATGGGCTGCTAGTACCTGTAACTCAGTTCAAGGTTCCTGGTGAAAGCATGGGTCATCTCTGTTCTCCAGGTACTGCTGTGCAACCTCAAACCATGAAATGCCCAACCTGCCTGTCCCACCAAGGGGGCTCCCTCATTTCTCCTGCCCTACATTTAATATTTTTCTGTGAGCACCTGATGGAGGCCAGCTTTTTAGTGTTTTACCAAACTTTGTGTAGCAGGATATTAAATAATGAGACTGTTCCTGTCTGAGTATTTTCACTAGGTTCAGTAGCTGAGTACTCTAGGTTTCAAATAAACCCCCACAATTTCTAAAACAAGATGCTAGACCATCTTTTCAGGAATTCAACTAACAGAATATGAAAAACTTTATATCAACTAAATGGAGTCCCATTAAATTCTATCATTTTAATAACCCATTTTAACAAATTGTCCTTTACAATACTGTACTCTTATAACTGAACTCTGAATGTAATTTTAAAAGGTATTCTTCCTCAAAACATTTACAAACCATGGAATCTGGAAGAAATAATCCAAATTTACTTTTTCCTCCATTATCAATTAACAAGAAACCTTGTTTACAGTCAAAAAGAACTAACTAGACTTAGATTATTCTTCTCTAGAAACCCGTCTTTATAGCATCATAAACAATATTAAAAATAAAACCAAAAACACAAGAGATAAGGGGAGCTTCTTGGATCCAGGTAGGCTATAAAGGACTGTTATTATTCAGGCTTGGGTCATGTGCCCACCCTCCTTCTACATCAGTCTCTGTGTCTCAGGAAGTACAGGGCCACTATACTTAGCCCACCTTGGGTTCATCTCTCAAAATGGCCAAGATTGTTTCAGGACTCATTAAAAAAAAATCTGTCTTTGACATATTGTTGCATATATTTTTAGAGTTATAACAGAATTTTCACCTCTAAATATTGTATGATTATATTTTACAAGATGAGCTCATGCAACCCAACTAGAGACTATATTTTTCTAGCTACGCTTGCAGCTTGGTATGGCCATGTGATTAAGCTTCACATGAAATATAAACAACAGGGAGATCAGCTGGGTGCTTTGTGACCACCTAGAGGGGTGGGATAGGGAGGGTGGGAGGGAGATGCAAGAGGGAGGGGATATGGGGATATGTGTGTATGTATAGCTGATTCACTTTGTTATAAAGCAGAAAATAACACACCATTGTAAAGCAATTATACTCCAATAAAGATGTTAAAAAAGAAAAGTATATGTATGTCACTTCTGGATCTGGATGAGAGAACTTAGAACTTTCACTGTGAATCCCTTTTTCCTTCCTACTGCCTGGATCACTAACGTGGCAGCAGTCAAACTTTGATCTTGCAGATGAATACTATGACTTGATGGGTACAGAAGAGCAATATTCAAGGAAGCTGCATCCCTGAATGATCTTGTGGAGCAAAGTTTCCACTCAAGCCAAGAGCAGAAGGACTATAACATGTCTTCTAAGCCAGCGGTCCTTTTTTTTGCCACCAGGGACCGGTTTCGTGGAAGACAATTTTTCCACAGGCGCAGAGCAGGGAATGGTTCAGGCGGTAATGTGAGCAATGGTTCAGGCCATAATGCGAGCGATGGGGAGTGATAGGGAGCAGCAGATGAAGCTTTGCTCGCTCGCCTGCCACTCACCTGCTGTGTGGCCCGGTTCCTAACAGGCCGTGGACTGGTACTGGTCCAGGGCCCGGGGGGTTGGAGACCCCTGTTCTAAGCTGTAGCAACCACCTCCTAAATGAGCTCTTTCTCCAGTGAGCTCTTTTTTTTCCCTCTTTTCCTGCAATCAGAGTGATGCAACAAGCACAGCTCTGAGCATGCTTGATAATCTTCAAAGACTGCCTGCCTCTGGAATAAAGTCTATGACCTAGGCTACAATTGACCTTTCAACTTCATCTTCAATGAGCCCATCAGCTACAGTGGACTTCAAGTGATGTGCAGCATTTACTCACTACCATTATATATTTGCTCATTCCCTTCCTTTAAAATACATTTCCTCTAATCTCTCTTTGATGAAATCTGAGTCATCCTTCAAGATACAGCAGAAATTACACCTCCTTATGAAGCCATCTATAACCTTTCCAAATATAATTGTTGCTTTGAAATAGACTCAAATATTTCATTTGTTACATTATGTTAGCACTGATATCTTCTCACTTTATTTTATACTATTTGCCCCCTTCAAGGTATAGTTTCGCCAAGAGTGAGAAATTTGCTTTAAATACCCAGTAAATATGGGTCTCCAATTGGATTACACGTACCAGTAAAATGTAAGTTCAAGTGTTGCAGGCAAAGATAGCATTGCTCAATTTTAATAATCCCAAATAAAGACAATTGAAAACATTGATCAGTGTGGCAGCCACACTGGCCATCTCATGGTTTTCTGAGCACACCAAGCTTGTTTTCACCTCTGCAACCTGCTGTTCTCCTGCCTGGAACACTATTCCACTTTATCTTCAAATGGCTTACCCCCTCACTTCAGTTACAACTTTTAAAAATATTGCCTCCTCAGAGAACCCTTATCTGACTAACATAGCTAGAATATCCACCTCCTCTGTCCATTACCCATTGACTTGTTACCATTCTTTATCTTCACCTGAAATTTTATATGCATATACTCATCCATGTAAACACACACATATTCATATACTAATTTATTATTTGAATAAGTATATTTCCTTTGCATGTTTTTCTCATAAACCTCTCTCTCCTTTCATGATTGTAAACACTTCAATATCTGGGACCATGTCACAATCTGTACCTACTGCAGGGATTAGCATACAGTAATTACTCAATATATGCCTGTCAAATTGAATTGAATCAATATAGTGCTCTTCACATTTATTATTCATTTACCTGTGTTGATTTTTTTAATTGACTAAAAGATTAAGCAGTCCATCTTTGCAGGTACATACTAAGTGCTAAAATAGTTTAAAAAAAGAAATACAGCTTTCAGTTTACTGCCATTGTTGCTTGGAAGATTCATTCTGGTAGCATACATATGTAGCAACCCTTTGAGGTAGATATTGAGTAAATATTTTTATTGCCAACTTTGAGTTAAGGAAATTGAAAATCTACATTGATTTTAGTATCTTAAACTGTAAAAGCACAAATGAATACTAGAGATTAGCTAAATCCACTTAGAGATAAATAAACTGCAGCTAAGAAAAACTAACAGAATTCCCAAAGTCCTTACAGACTCTTAGTGGACTAATGCCAGAAAGACTAATGCCAAAAAGTTGAAGTATTGGCAATGTTGAAATAGAAAATTATGCTTACTTCATACATGTTTTGAAGTTTAAAAAAGAAAAAACACTGATCATCTAATTTCACCATGATATTATATTGGAAGAGTATATTTTAGCTTTTAATATTAAGAACAATAGTATATAATCGCATCTTAAAGGTAAAGTTTCCTAATGAAGATGAGATTAATAGCATTACATCATATATCAAAGAAAAAAGAAGGATTTTAATACTTCAATATGAAGTTTGGGAGACCACACAAGATGGTGGAGTAGAAAGACACTCTCCTGAGCTCACCCCCTCTCATAGGCACACCAAAATCACAACTATTTGCAGAACAACCATTGAAGAAAAAGACTCTGAACCTACTGGAAAAGATCTTCTACAACTAAGATCTACTATCTATCTATCTATCTATCTATATCTATATCTATATATACCTCATAGTAATTACAAACCTAGAACTTATAACAGACACACACACAAAAAAGAAAAAGGAATCCAGATATAACACTAAAGATAGTCATCAAATCACAAGAGAAGACAACAAAAGAAGAAGAGGGGAATAAAAAAGACCTATGAAAACAAGCCCCAAAACAATTAACAAAATGGCAATAAGTACATACTTATCAATAATTATTTAAATATAAATGGACTAAATGTTTCAATCAAAAGACACAGAGTGGCTGAATGGATACAACTATAAGAACCATTTATATACTGCCCACAAGAGAGTCACTTCAGACTGAAGACACACACAAACTGAAAGTGAGAGGATGGAAAAAACGTATTCCATGCAAATGGAAATCAAAAAACATCTGGGATAGCAATACTTATATAACACAAAAAAAAGACTTTAAAACAAAGACTATAAAAAGAAACAAAGAAAGACAACACATAATGAAGGGATCAATCCAAGAAGACATACCAACTGTAAATATATATGAACCCAGTATAGAAGCACCTAAATACATGGAGCAAATATTAACATACATAAAGGGAGAAATAGACAGGAACAATAATAGTAGGGGACTTTAACACCCCACTTACATCAGTGAATGGATCATCCAGACAGAAAATCGATAAGGAAACAGTGCCTTAAATGACACATTAGGTCAGATGACCTTAATAGATATATACAGAACATTCCATCCAAAAGCAGCAAAATGCACATTCTCTTCAAGTGAACATGCAACTTTCTCCAGGATAGATCACATCACAGGCTAGGCCACAAAACAGGCTTTGGTAAATTTAAGAAAACTGAAATCATATCAAGTATATGTCCCGACCACAACTCTATGAGACTAGAAATCAACTACAAGAAAAAAAAACTGCAACAAAACCAAACACATGGAGGCTAAACAATATGCAACCAATGGATCACTGAAAAATTCAAAGAGGAAAACAGATAATACCTAGAGACAAATCAAAATGAAAACATGACAATCCAAGATCTATGGGACACAGCAAAAACATTTCTAAGGTGGAAATTTATAGCAATGCAAACTTACCTCAGGAAACAAGAAACATCTCAAATAAACAACCTAACCTTACACCTAAAGGAGCTAGGAAAAGAAGAACAAACAAAATTCAAATAGTAGAAGGAAAGAAATCATAAAGAACAGAGCAGAAGTAAATGAAATAAAGACTAAAAAAAAAAATATAAAAGATTAATGAAACTAACACCTGATTCCTTGAAAAGATAAAGAAAATAGATAAACATTTAGCCAGATTGATCAAGAAAAAGAGAGAGAGGGCCCAAATCAATAAAATCAAAAATGAAAAAGGAGAAGTTACAACAAACACCACAGAAATACAAAGGGTT